TAGAATTTGTAAGTTTCTTGTTTGGGTGATGGATTTAAAACACGGAATTGAACCTTTATTTGTAAAGTTATCTTTTTTAAAAACTCAATCTCTCTTAGGAATTTAGAAATGACGACTTTTAGATAGGATTTAAAGTTGGGATTTATGATCTCCAAATTCCATGTTTTTTCCCACACGGAATTTCTAAATTTCTATTTTTTTTTAATCCAAACATGGGAATTGGTTCATATCAATTTAGAAATTCTGAGTTTTGCCAAAATCCCAAGTTTATTTCCCTCATCCAAACACACCATTAGTAACATATTTAAATTTCTCTCAGCATACTCATTGTCTTTAAACTCTACTGGATTGAAACATTTATACCCCACAAAACGAGGTTAAACTCCAAAGATCTCTTGAAGAAAAAGAGAGAAATATAAAAGAGTCAAAATGATTAATGGCTTGGAGTAAAACATGTTTTATGGATTGAATTTAATTTTTAAAACAAAAAATAAATAAACAAACAAACACAGATGCACACGAACACACACACACAAATAAGTCTCGGCGGGCACTAAAGGGGAAGCTTAGAGACGGAATTCAAATAGAAGAATAGAGGAGTACGCAGGGGGTGAAGTAAAGATAACTCCAGCAATATAGACTGTTCCTTAGCCGGTTATATATATGACAAGCACAAGTATCTTGCTTTTATTTCTATATTATGTATAGTTAGAAGTTATAATCTTTCTTTGTTCTTATGATTATAATAAACCAGTTATACATTAATTTTTGTTTTGCCAATTTATTCTAGAAAGAGCCATGCTTGATGTGCGTGTACAATTTTTTTTCTTCTTTTCTAGACTACAATATTAAATTCTTGTAGTTCTGTGTATAGTTGATGGGGCAAGGAATTGATTTTGTTCCAAAAAATATATGCCTTTGAGTATAGTGATGGGGTAAGGAATTTTGATTTTATTCCAAAATATGTATACCTTTGAGTATGGTGATAGTTATCGCACTCCCTTTTGAGTATATGCCTTTGAGTATAGTGATGGAGCCATTGACATGTTCGAGGAGGCAACTGAAGCAAATCTCTACTATACTTTGAGTATAGTAGATCAAAGGCTGATGAAGAAAAGACTCAACGAAATCCTAGGGGCGGCTAACTATAGGTGGAGCAAGGGCTCCTAGCAAAGTTCAGGAATATCCCAAGCTTAGGTGGAGCAAGGGCTCTTAGCAAAACTCAAGAAAATCCTAGGCTTAGGTGGAGTAAGAGCTCCTAGCAAGGCTCAAGAAATCCTTGTTGGAAGAGGTGGAGTTGCAGGAACCATGTCTTCCTTGAAAAGTGAGAGTGTTGTGATAGGGCGAGTTACCTAGGCTTGGATCTCGCCAAGGTGGAGATTGTTGGTGAATGTGGCTTGATACAAGCCATGATGTGTAAGTTCCACATTGAAAAATACAACGACAATCTACAATCCAAATATAGGTGACCTACTACTACCGAGGCTTGAACTGTTAATCCATAGAAAGCAGTGGCATGAACTATTTATAAATAAAAAGTAGTCACATGAACTATTAATACATAAAAGGCAGTGGCATGGGCTGCAATTTTGATATGTTTATATGGCCATTTAGTAATTTGAGTTTTTATTATTTTTATAGGGGTGTATTCAATTGAGATAAAGATTTTAAAGAAGTTTAAAAGTCCAGGTGTATTATGTTTGAGCAAACTTCTCATGGGAGAATATTCGCAAGAGATTCTTCACCCTTCGAGCTTCCTTCTCTCTCTTCTTCGTCAATTCCTACGGAAAAAGGTTGGAGTAAATAGACCACACTCAGGGAGCGTTGGTCAAAGGCCCTCCAATGCCTAAGTCAATTAGATGATCTTGAGGAAGATACAAAAATAACAGAAAAGGTCGGAGTTTTCTCTATGGTACGAGAGAACTGGGTGGTCGGAGCCGTGAGAGAGAGAGAGAGAGAGATAGTTCTTTGGATTTTTGGAATTTACCTCATGTATGTGGTGTAGTCATGTATTTATAACGCTCTTGCCTTCTATGGTTTTTCAGGGAATTATTCTCTCCCTTAAATGGAGAGATTGGATCAATCATGGAGAATTAATGAAAATCAAATCCTTAATTTTTGATAATATTCCTATTTTAAGTCTAAACAATTGGCTAATTAAATGGAGCACAATTTTTTACCTAAGGAATATTCTTATTGCTTCCGCCATCGTCCTAGCCACTTGGTTTTTATATGTGAGGGCCAATTTGTTTTTCTTTATTTTTTTTACTTTAGAAATAAGAAAGAGAAGTGTGTGACCGGTCCATTGATTTTGGATGCCCCATGCAAAGAGATATGTTGAGACCCTGTATATACAAGTAAAAAAAAATTCATAATCCACAAATAGAACCAAATACATCCTTAGTTACGTCAACTGCACTTACTTTCTCATATTCATAGTCTACTCAATTGTCTTTTACATACAAAAAAAAGTGAATGCAGTTCAAAAACTAATATAAAAGAACAACAAAATGAAGCAACCAACACTTCAAAAACTCAAACTATTATAAACACTCAGAGAGTTTTGATCGAATTGAATCACAAAGCTTTGGTTGATTTGAAGAAAAAAAAAGTTCAAAAGACAGATTTTTGCAAGAGAGAGAGGGGGCGCTCAAGAAGAAGACCTTGGGAAGAGCAAAACACTGGCTAGAAAACACGTTAAAAGAATTAGGTAAAAATAGGCCAATTTTCTTGTTTTCTTTTGTCAAAAGACCTTTTTTTTAAATTAAAAAATTGAAGTCTGCAGAAGTAAATGCCCTTTTCGATTTCTTTTATAAGTGGGTTTAAAATAATTTGAAGGCCCTAAATTTTTGGGGGCTTTGTGCAGTCGCTTTGTCTGAATAGGTTATGGGTTGGGCATGTGCTAATTGGTTATTATTTGTTTTTTCTACTTTAGAATTATGAAAGATAATTCCAAAAACAAAATGAGAAAAGTTGTGTCCTATAAAAATAGGTCTTATGATCTTATTTCGGTTTATAGTTTTAATTTTTTTAATATGAAAAAAAAGCTAATTTATTATATTATCATTATTATTTAATGAAAACATTTAATACTTAATTAATGACAATTTGTGGTATTTGAATGTTTCTGTCTTGCGCTTTATATATAGATAGATTATGTGAGGGGTCAAGAGTTGATTACATGTGGTATAGTAGTGTTTTTGTACAAATCATATCGAGCTGTCCTTAAAAAAAATTATCAGAAAAATAAACAAATAAAACAGGTAGGGTTTTTAAATGGCATCCACTTGCATAATAAACAAGGGCCCGGCGCGCGGGTGTGTTTATGATTTGAGTAAAGCCCCCAACTTTTTTAGTCTAAATTAGTTACAGAGAGAAAATGTACAGCACAGTCGCTTTGGCCGAGTGGTTAAGGCGTGTGCCTGCTAAGTACATGGGGTTTCCCCGCGAGAGTTCGAATCTCTCAGGCGACGAAAGCTTTTGTTTTTGTTTTTGTAATGGAAAACTTCACATTTCTTCCCTTAAATAAAATAAAAAAACAATAAATCCGGATGTGAGCATTCCTAAAATTAAAAAAAGAAAAAAGTCTCTCACGTACTTGATTTTATTCACAGTGATTGTTTTTTTTTCCTTTGGCATGGAAAACTTGTTTCCAGATAGGGTTCACTCGCATTGTATTTTAATAATATGAACCGTCTATCTTTTTAGATATTCCTTGAAATATAATCTTTACAAAAAATCATTCGAATCCAAATTCATATATTACAAGTGCTTCTTCATTACGGAGTCCTGCAATGCGACTTCGTTACAAAGTCCCGCTTTTGACCATGCGATGATTTGAACAGTTTATATCTCTACTCTCTCTTTCTTTTTTCTTTCTTTTCCGTTACGAAGTCCAGCTTTTAATCGTGCCATAGCGGTTGTTAGGGGTGGGCATCGGGATTGGAAAACCGGAACACCGAACCGAACCGGTGAAAAAAAAGGGGAAAAAAAACCAGTTGACCAAAAAAGTCAACAAATCGGACTGGAATCGGACCGAATTGGTTTCGGTTTTACACCACACCTCATCGGAACAGACTGAACCGGACCGGTCATATATTTTTTATTTTTTATTTTTACAAATTTTTAAAATCTAATGCCATATTTTAAATTTTATAATCACTATTTTTCCAAGTTCAACTTCAAAAAATTTCTAAATGTATGAATTGGATTATTTGTTAATTTTTAAGCCAAAAAAATAAGTTATTTATTATAATTTTAAAAATATTTAAAAAAATTAAAAATTAAAAAATTAATAATCCGATTCAAAACCAGAACTGGATAGGCGGGTTTTTGAATTTTTTTTTCTTAAACTAGACCGAACTGGACCGGTTAAATAGTACCAGTTTGGTTCTAGTTTGAGGTGAGAATCGGACCAAACTGGACCACGCCCACCCCTAGTGGTTGTGACCATTTGTTTTGCTTTGTTTTTATTTTTGGCAGTGACTTTTCTTCTTCTTGTTTATAATTTTGTTATTTTCTTGATGCCAAATTACACTTTTTGCCCCATAGTTTGCCCAAGTTTCCTCTTTTGTCCATACATGTTATTAGTTTTTGACGTTAATTCTACTAATTTATTATTTGTTTTCGTAACAAATAAATGTTATCTTATTATCATAATCACCAAATATTTTCATTTTATTTATCAAACCATAGAAATACTAAAAAGAAAATACTTGCCTCTCTCATCCATAAGCAGGAATTCTATTTATTTTTTTACTTTAATCATTGGTTTGATATATGTGCATAAGTTTTTTAATTTTTTTTTAAAGAATTATTTTCGTATATGCATGAAAGTGCAACTAGGGGTAAATCGGGAATTTAAGATTTTCCTTTGATTTTTGTTGGGCGTGCTGAACGTATGATTGGGTGCATATAGAATTTTCCCAAACCTATAAACCCCAAAAACCCTAGAAAAGAGAGAGAAGGCTGAACTGAGAAGTAAGACAGAGTAAAGAGCGATGACGCAGAAAGGGAAGCTATTCAAAGGCCAGCAGAAGAAGAAAACGATTCCTCCCAGCCGCCATGGAAAAATCACTCAAACTCGCAAAGGGAAGCGAGTAATCAAACCTTCTAAAATCAGCAGTGATATGGATGCCGATCGTGTATGTTCTCTTCTCTCTCTCATTATGTTTTTGTAATATTTGATTTAGTTAGTAATGGATTACTTGCAGTCCCGAATTATCATTTTTGTGATGGTTTCAGTGAACCCTAATTGTTTGTAACCATGAAACTGGCAAATTGAGAGTTTTTTTTTTTTTTTTTTTTTTTTATTTATTTTTTTTTTTTATTTTTTTTATTATGTTTTCGATTTTAATGAGAAATTGGATCAATTGGTTCTCAAGATTGATATATTTAGGTAGTGGCCTTGGCTTCAAAATCCTACTTAACACTTATGCAGTTTTAATTGACTGAATTTAGAGTTTGATGAATATGGGTAGACCTTAAAGTATTTCTTTGGGGTCATTTGATTATGTAGTGGCTCTAAGTGCAATTAATTTACAGGTGATGTCCTTTCTTACAGTTTATATTGCAGGCAATCAAATTCTCTTCCACAGATATTTCCATAGGCTTACTCTGTTCTGTTTCATTTCCTTTTCGTATCTTTTGTTTTGGTCTTATTTGGGTAATTTCTTTTGCACAAGGGTATGATAAGTAGGAAAAACAAGTTTAGACTATATAACTTTGACTATTGATTCCCTGTTGTGGGGTTTGAAGTAAATAGTCTACTGCTTAGACAATGCTGCCATTATTTATGATGATGCAGCCGCCAAATCTTATATGATTTCGAGAGTAGCGAATCGATCTTTTCCCTATAAACTGTGGTGCTGTTTTTGGGTTTGTTATAATGCATTAGATTTTTGTCGAGTTCAAGTTATTAGTTTTTGTGCTTACGTTGTTTTGTTTCCTATCTATGGTAATAATTATCAAGTGTCCAAAATTTGTTGGTAGGAGATTTTACATTCTTAGAGATGAGAAGACCTTAGTGTGAGAAGTGGGGAGTTTTAGTCACCTTGTTATAAACTTGGAAGTAGGTGCTAGTAGCTGCGTAGTATACTGATTACTGAGTCAATACTTCCTATTAATTTATTCAACTTCACTGATCTAAATATTTCTCTCATTGAAAAACTTCATTGGATGTGTTAATCTCCACCAACATTTATGTGTTTTTGGATTATAGGATGTGGAAACTCAAGTCTATGTTAAGGACCAAAACCTATAACTTTATGTGCAACTTTTGCTCCTGATTCCTTTCATATTTAAGGACATGATTACTTACTTAGGAACGGGGAAGTCATGAATCGGAGAAATTAGGGAAGGGAAGAGAGGAATGAGAATAGGATCAACTACTCTCCCCAATCAATCTAATTCTTGGTTTTCAAGTTATTGGCTTAGGACATAATTTTTTATTCCTTATGTGTTGGTAAACATAGGGGAAGTCAGGAATTGGAATAATTCCAATACCCATTCCTAATTAGTAATATATGAACACCGATTGATCTTTCTGACTTTGATCTTTCTCATGGCTTCTTAACTATGTATTTGATGTATCAGGAGATAACAAAGTTCATAAACCAGTGCAATGAGGTGAAGGCCGCCACTGCTGCAAACAAGGAAGGTGGCCAATTAAGCATTGTAAAAACACCTCAAGAGTCTGGTAGTAACGCAAAGCAACAGTAGTTGCCGATCTTGTAGAATTATGAGTGTCGAGAGTGATAGGTTGTCTGGAAACACTTAAAAACAAACCACTGCTGAGAATTTTGTTGTGTTGTATTGGGGTCTTGTAAGATTTTTCTTTCTTAGCAAGGCCAACCTGGGAATTTTATTGGTACTTACTGCTTAAACTCGTTATGTAGTTTGTAGCATGTAATTAAGGCCTAAAGTTTTGGGGTTTGGATTGTTACCTTTCGTATCAATTGTATCAACTATAAATATTGGTATATGATCTGATCCTTCGCAAGTGTGTGACTAGTATCATTCATTAAGCGACCCAAGCTGCACACTGAGATAGTATCTTCTTATTCTGTCCAGGACCTCTACTTCGTGATGACTCCATTTTTACTCGTAAAGAAAACAAAACCATTTGTTTGACATAAATGCAGTACTACATAGGATTGCATGTATGTCGGAGCAAATTGGCAAAGGCGTAACTAACCCAAATACCACACAAGAAAGAAGAAAAATTTGATCATATACTGTGTTTGACCTGTTTTGCCTAATTCCTATATCATCTTCCAAACCCGAATCAGATTTGATCATGTTGCTCTGGATCTGTTTCTGCGTCAACTTAAGTTCCATAAAAGATTCAAAATTCAACATGCCTATCAATCTAAATTTCATTTTGTATATAAAGCTTGAAAAAATTACCTTGAAATGGCACAACACTTGATCTTTTTATATGATCACATTTTGAATATTACAATTAAAAAGGCGAATAAGGCACTCATAGAGCATTTCCACCGAGGCCCCCTTGCCTCGGGCTTGGGGAGTTTTTTGCAAAAATTGGTTTCCAGTGGTGAGCCCAAGCACCGGCTGGAGTGGGTCCCACGCAACTCGGGCTGGCTCGAAGGCCAGTTCAGCCCGAGGTCCAAAACGCAGGCTGGCGTCAGCCCACTCATTTGATTTTTTTTTTGTTGCCACGTGGCGTCGTCTGGGCTCTCTGATCTGATTTTTTCCTCCAATCCAACGGCAGCCAATTTTTTTGCAATAAAATACTGAAAAAAATTCGGAAATTTTTTTAAAAAATACCCAAAAATTAATGAATTTTTTTTTTCTATAAATACCAGCCAATTTTTTTTTTTTAATTTATCTTAAATTTGAAATTGACAATTTTATCCGATTATGAGATATGAATAGTATTGACACGTAGGAACCTGAAATCTTATCTGAAAATATTATCCAAATTAATTATTGAGGTAAAAAAAATTGTGAAAAAAATTTAAAAATGAATAGTAATTGCCCTTTGCCATGACAACTAGTAGAAATGGAAAATACTATTTGCAAGGGCAACTACTATTCACGTGAATAGTGGCTGCCCTAGCTTCCCCCTTGCCATGGCTAAGGGCAAATGGGTGGAGTTGCTCTTAGGGCTGGGCATTTGCACCGAAAACCGGCCAAATTGAACCAGTTGAGCCAGTTTGGTCCAATGTTTTAAATTTCCAAACTTGCGATTCAAGAACACGAGAATACAGATCCCTCACCTCTCATCAACCACATTAATCGCATATTTGCTAGGATCAAAATGATTAAAAACATTGCGAACGAATCTCACTAGTTCATATACTGAACGATCATCATATTCAGACTTTGGGTCATAATTGTATATCTTATCAGTCCAAGTAGGCAATCTTTGAGCATACCATGGCAAAATCCTACTAAAAGCACTACCACATAAATCATCAAGATTCCCCATGAAATGTAAATATATATTCCTATCTACTGGAACCATAAAAAAAAGGATACTTGATTAATTTGTCAACAAGTCGCACAAGTTGCCTCTGGTGCAGCGTGTTGTTAGGGTTGGTGGATGACTTCCGCATGTGTCTGGGTTATATCGAAGAAAGAGCCGGGAGGGGAGGGTGTCTAAGAATGGGTCTACAACAAGGGCAGGTAAGTAGAGGGTAGGGGTGGGCAACAGAGATGAGAGGGTGGGGTGGAGGTGGTTTGCGGTCATGATAGGGTAGGGTGGGGGTGGGTGGCGGTGAGGAGATGAAGATGAAGGCTGTTGGAGATGGATTTTTATTTTATTTTTATTTTAAGTTTTTATTTATTTATTTATTGACATAATAATATTTTCTTATTTATTTAATGAATAATATTATCAGACCATGAGCCACCATATGAGTGGGTTTACGTGGCATATATGCCACGTAAGTGGTTAACATACTAATCAATAGCAAGAGTGATGGTAGGTATGAAAGACGAAAAAAAGTTAATGTAGTAAAGGTTGAAACTAGATAAACTTTAGTAAAGTGAAAATTACTATATAAAAAGAGAAAAAGAAAAAAGAAGAATAGTAATAGAAGATAGAAACACAGCTTCAATGTGCTCATTCATTTAAAAAAAAATTTATTTCAGATTTTTAAATTTTTTCATAATATGAGTGAGTCCACGTGGCTCATTCATTGCTACATCAAAATTTAACAAACCTTTTAACGGATAAGATTGACGGTGTGTATGAAAGTCTTGCCAAAATAAACGTTAGGTATGAGATAAAGACGAAAAAAAATACTTCGGATACCAAAGGCTGAAACTCATTAAACATAAAAGTAGTAAAGTGAAATTTATCCAATTATAAGAAAAACAGAATTTCAAGTGATTCTCTTTGTTTTTTTTTCTTTCCATTTATTTATATTAACAACATACTCCATTTAACACTGTAAAATAGGCAGTGCACCAAACAAGAAAGAAACACATCTTCAATGTGCTCTAAACTTAACTTGTTATCTTTGTCATTTTCTGTTTTTGAATACAAAAACAATGACACAGACGCATAAATAAGAGAAGTTGAGGTGGATATGAGTCATCAAATCTTGATGGTCCAGGCCCACTTATCTTAGCCACGTTTTCTCCAACCCATAGGGACAACAAATAATGGCCTAGGTAGGGCCGGCCTTAACTGTCAAATTATTTATAAAAAAAAGGAATAAAAAAGCTCTAATTCCAACGTAGTCAGCAGAATCGGGCCTACCGCTTGACCTGTCACATCCACGTGGAGCTCGGGGCCTAAGTAATTCTCCAATTTGACTGACCTTTGATCATAATACTTTTCAACTTTTACTCCTGGTCAAATGTGGCATGCCATCACTATTTACAGCATAGAACTTCGGAGATTTTACTGAAGATTTTCATGGTAAACGGCTCAAAAAAGATCATTGTGCTGAAATAAACATTTTTTTTAATGTCAGAAACTTTTCAAATAGAGAAAGAATATGTTTTTTTTTTCTATCATCTTGACTCATCTAAATCCTCGAGGATTTCATTAATAAATCCATTTTAATATGATATAATATACAAAAAGCCCTTACCGAGTCTATTTAGAGTGAAAAATTCAAAACTAACCACTGATTATTTTTAATTGGTTCTTATAAAATTTTAACACACTAAAAATTAATTAGAAAATGACAAATGACTAATTTTGGATTAGTCTCTCCCAATAGGCTCTATATAAGTTTTTGTATAATATTTATTGTTAAAATGAGTTTTTAAATAAATATCTACTTTTTGATCACCTTGAGCAAAACGGTTTTGCTACTACTACTAGCTAGCATACGATGAAATGAATTATACTCTCATACTTGTTTTGGTGTTGAGTCATTTCACAATTTATCTTACTAAAATTATAAATTAAAAGTGGACTATGATTGTTTATTTCTTTGACCATAATTAAAAGATTAAGTATTTTATTATTATTAATAAGGACGAGGGGATTTAAATTGGGATATCTTTCAACATTATAAAGAAAAATACTGCTTCAGCATAACCACGTACTCGACATATATTTTATTAACAGAAATTCGGACATGATAAATGTTGTGTTAAGACACTTCAGCGATGAATTTATGAACACAACTATACATAATACATAGCAACTGTTATGTTGACTTCGACTTGATTTAATTTAAGGGAGTTTCACTAAAACACCCAAAATGGAGGTTGAAATTATAAAAAAACCCAACACCCAAAACACTTTATAAACACACCCAAAACCCATCATTACACACACTCAAAACCCATTTATAAACACACCCAAAAAGTTGACTTTGGGGTTAATTTTGGGTGTGTTTCTATGTTTAAATAGTGCTTGAGTTTTTTTATAAATACATGTCTAGGATTGAGTTTATTTATAAATTTGTATTAATATTTAATTGAAGGGCTTGCTCCAATTGGAAAAACGTACGAAATTATGGATGCCAAATAACGGTTCCTCCGAATCAAAGTAAACAGAAGCAATAACAGCAGTTTCTAGTTTGTTTCTTGCACGGCCTGGAAATTACTAGTCAAGGAAGATAAGGTGGGTTTTCTGTTGATCCCTTTTTGCATACGCCTCTCTCTCTCTCTCTCTCTCTCTCTCTCTCTCTCTCTCTCTCTCTCCCCTTTTCTTTGTAAAAAAGTCAAATGCTTTTTATGCCACCATTTCTCTCACCCTCCTAAATTTGATTTTTACTTACTTCACCCATCGTGGCACATCAGGCATCCATCTCAGCCGTCCAATACTTCACCCACAACAAAATCCAACCGTCCATACTCTGAACACTCAATGCAAATTACAAAGACACCCACCAACTGCAGGAAGACTCTGTTTCAACGTGCTTCATCCTCATCTGACGTGAACCCACCTAGCCTCCTCCCATTGGGCAACATCTCCCACGCGCCACCTTGGTGCGTTGATCTTGACTATGAACATATTGGTCCCAGCAACTCTGATACTCTGAGGTAATTAATTTTGTCCAAAAGAGAGGAGCCAATTTACATCAGCATCCACCACCACAACCATAGATGGATGGAGAGATAGATACACATATACGTACAAAGCACACCTAAACATTCCAGACAGCAACATCACCGCCACTTCCACAGCCACCGGTGCCACGTCATCACCGCCGACATGGGTGCTGCAGAGCCTGTAAAACAACCATCTTTACCATTCAACAAATTTTCTTGTTTTGTTGTTGTTGGTCGTGTAAATGCCAAAAAGGTCTGAACTTTGGTGTGATATGCAGGTGGTGGAGAGAGAAAGTGAAGAAGTTGAGGTGAGAGGGGAAAATGGGGAGAAGAAGGAAGAGGGGGAAGAGAGAGATGTTGAGAAAGGTGAGGAGGTGGGTTTTGAATATGAAGAACAGGCGGTGGCTGCAGAGAGCAACACCAATGATGACCATAATCAGAGAGATGTTCATATGTCAATGATGCATAGGCTAAATCCTACAAACCCTTTGAGAATCGTCATCAATAGTAACACCAGAGCTGCAACTCCACCTCCTCCTTCTCGGTTCTCTCATGGAAGTAATAATATCAGAGTTGGTGCTACTCCATCTCCTCCTCACTTCTCTCATACTCCCCCGCATTCTCAGCCTCGTTCTACACCAAACCCACAAGTAAGTTTTTTTTTTTCCTTCCCACAAAATTAAACATTTGGGGTAGCTTAGCTTTCATCAGTTTGTGATTTTCAAGTCAATTAAGTGATGTTTACGGAAGATTAAACAAGGATATCCCAGTTTTTATTTTCTTGGAATACCTTTTTAATTTTATTTTTTCCTAGAGTTCTTTCATCAGTTTGAAATGATACAGATGCTTTATCTGGGAGTTACTTGTACAAAATTTTGTTTTTAACTTTTTAAGTTCCTCTTTTCCTCCTTTTATTCCAATGTGAAATGGAGTCTTTTTTGGGTCTCTTTCTATGCCATTAATTCATTGATAGAAACTGTATATGCATAGTTCGTGTAAGAATTTGTAAATCATCAGTCTGATATGTTGGGTTTTCTCTCAAAATTTTCACCAGCCATCTATTACAACACTGAATTCAAGAAAATACACCAACAAGATATCTCTGTTCCTGTTCCTTCTACACATGGTTGCAGCTATTGGGCTTGTTGGTTTTCTTATATTCAAGGGAGTTCAGGGGCTGATAGAAGCATCTGACAACAGAGTTAAGAGAGCAGAGAAAAGAGTTTTAAAGTTTTTTCTACCACAAGTTGAAGCTGCATCTCTTTTAAGCATTACCCTTGCATTTGCATGGCAAAAGGCAGTGAGGGTGTGGCCTAAATTTTTTGTTCATTTCATATTATGGACCACTTTTCTCATGTCTCTGTCTGCTGGAATTCTACTAATTTGCTTCCAAAAGCCTGCTAGTGATGGCGTTGGGGTCTGTTTTATTGCTTTTGCAATAGGCAATGGCTTATATGCATGTTGGATATCGCAGCGGATTGGATTTTGTAGCAAGATATTGATCAAATCACTCGAACCAGTATCAAAGTTCCCTGATTTGAATCAACCCATTTATTGGATGCTTGGGGTTGGATTTTTGTGGATGTCCCTATGGAATCTAGCAGTAATTGGAGCTCTGAATTTCTATTTTACCCCACTGATGATAGTTTTGCTGGGATTGAGCTTGGCTTGGACAGCCGAAGTAATGAGGAATGTGGCAAATATAACCGTGAGTAGGGTTATTTCTCTGTATTATCTCAGAGGAATGCAATCTAACACTAAATTTTGCTTTCAAAGAGCCTTGAGTAAAAGTCTTGGAAGTGCATGCTTTGGATCTCTCTTTGTGCCTGCAATTGAAGCCCTGAGAATTGTTGCTCGAGCCTTAAATTTACTTGAGGGAGAAGATGAGTTCATGTTTTCTTGTGCACATTGCTGTCTCAGAGTCATGGAGTCCATCTTCAGATATGGCAATGGCTGGGCCTTTGTACAGGTACCTTTATTCATAAGCCATTATCAATTGATTTTGAGATTAATTTTCTTCAATTCTATTTGCATATCATACAAAGCAGAACAAAGAACTATAACATTGGTTCCTAGCTTCTTTTTCAACCAGAAGGGATTTCTTTGGCATTGCAAAATATATTTGTTTAGCCAGCTGATCAATATTTCTATAACACAGTGCGACTTTACTGGCCGTTCCTTCTATCATGTTTGAATAATATGGATAACGAATTATGCTGACAGCTGATTATGTCTGCTGTTTGTGTCAATGAAATCATCTGTAAATGAGTTATCCTACCTGCTATGGATAAAGAATAAATTTCTTGTTATTAAATGAATCAAATTAGATGGAACTTCTTTGTCAGAAGTGTACGTGCAATCTATTGGTTTAATGTAGATTTTACGTCATTCACAAATGTCATGTAAGATCATGATTGGTTATTTAGTTTTCAGAGTGATTCAAAGCATCAGCATATACATTTATATTCAACATCAAGTTATTTTTCGCCCAAAGTTTTTTCTTTTAACATTTTTTTAGGCAATCTTTCTCAATTTGATTGTTAAGTTACTACTATCTTGTCAACTCACTTGTGATCACGGTCGATATTTTGAATTACTTATGATGCAGTCGTTGTCTAAATGGTCAATGGTTTAGCACTAAATTAATAGAAGTTAAACTCAGTTATCTTAATTTCAACCAATTACTATCAGATAGCAGCATATGGGAAGGGTTTTGTGAAGGCGTCACAAGACACTTGGGAGCTCTTTGAAAGACAAGAAATGGAACAAATTGTTGATTCGGATATTACCAGCTCAATCTGCTTCTTAACCGGCGTCTGCAGTGGCTCTATGTGTGTCATAGTTGTGGCTGCTTGGACAGCCAGAGTTCACCAAAGTTTCACAGCCACCATTTCCATCCTTGCATTCTTCATTGGATACCTTATGGTTGGTGGCCTCTATTTGACCAGTCTATGTTCATGCTCTTTTATTTTTATTTTTTGCATATAAACCATGTGATCAACTTGTCAATTCTTTAATCTTTATTGCTTTTCTCTTCAATTAACCAAACCTAATCAATGTTTATTAATTTTTGCTTTTTCAGACCAGGATAGCCATGACACTACCACATGCTTGTGTAGGTAGTTACCTTGTTTGCTATGCAGAGAACCCAGACAACAGATTATTTGACAACACAATTAAGGATCGTCTGGCTTTGATGAAATCTGGTCGAGATGTAGCCATCCTCACACCTCGAGTACCCCGCAGGTTTGCAGCAAGGTAAAACATAGTGACACTGCCATTAACTCCTCCCACTGCAGCACCACCATTTGCGCTCTCACATAGAAGTGTGAAGGAGTGCAGGAGGTGTTTTGGCACTCCCAAACATAGTTCCGGCCCTGATTTACCCTAGTTGTACGATATTATGAGGGCATCGGATATAGTTCGGACGGATTTTTGCACGTGAAAGTTATATATTTACTACCTCTTGTAACATGTATGTGTGGTCCATCGCGTGCATGACAATGGAAAGTATGTATGTGTAGCTGGCACATACAATATTTTAGGGGAGTCGAGGAATCAGCCACAAATGAGCTCAAAGTTAAAATTACCTACAATTGCAAGAGTGAGTTATGGTGCTGGTGATCAAAGGTTTTTTGAATGGGAGAGTTGAGCATTATTGGATGTACTGTTGGAAGAAACGTGGAGGCACTGAGATTCCACCCAACAAGGCTTAAAAGGAAGTGTCCCTTGCTCCTTGTCCTTTTGAATAATATATATACTTTTGGCATATACCATATGCTAAAAATGGCCCACCGTTATTTTATTATCTTCACCTTGTTCAAAAAGACCCACCATTATTTTTCTATAATTATTCATTATTTAATTCTCTCTGATCTCAATCTTGTAGATATGCCCTCGAGTTTCGTATGTTTATGGTAAAGACTGAAAGTTTGGTTCAGCTTAATTAAATTAATGCACATTGTTGATACTGACACACTGCTTTAGGTTGGCTAGGATTGTTTAATGTGTATTGGCTGGCCTATCTATTTAGTGTCCCGAATGAGGCAATGAATAATAAACTATGCAGTAGAGGACGTAAGTTGTCATGTCATGTGCCGCGTGTATTTATATCAATAGGTTTGTAAACAAGTTGGTAGTTATAGAATTATTGATAAATAAATTATTGATTTGATTTTTTTTTCTGTCGACAATCAAAAAATCTGGATAATGTAAAAATAAAAATAAAAATATATATGTATATTTATTATGAAGTTCAAATGGAATGATTGGAGGAGCCATAGTAATTGGAGTGCCAGTCAAAAATCTTATGATTGGATTTCATACAAAATCATGATTCTTGGGCTGATCACATATTCTTTTAGTGGTAAAAGTTCTTTTGAATATAAACCAACCAAAAAAAAACATGATTGTCTGGTTCTGGTGGCAAGCATTGTTGCCTGTAGGGAAGAGCCATGATTAAAAAATATTGTTGACGTTCAAACCCGAACAAAAAAGCAATGATAAAGTTGAAAGCGTAAAACATTAACTCTTTGAATACAAGCGATGTTTTGAATTATAAAGACACTACCAAGATGTTATGGGTTCGAATTTGAGATTAATAATTTGCAAATCAAGACCTTTTTTCAGTAGGCTAAACCCGTTGGAACTAAATTATTTGTTTATCAATCTTTATAGCCTTTTCTTTATAAAAAAAAAGAAAAAAAGAAAGAAGCTTTATAGCTGTGATTCCAGATATTAAGAATATAATTTAGCTGTTCATTTTTGGTTTCATGAAAAAGAAACCAACTCATTAATATAATTTCCCTCTAACCTTGTAACAATTGCTAATAAATAAGATAAAAGATTCGTACCCTTTTTTGGCAATAAAAAATTCCTCATTTGTTTGCTTGTAGGGTGGGTAGGTCCAATCTACCTTTGCTCGTTACCTTTTTTCTTTTCCATCATAAAAGAAAATGGTTCATAAACTAAAACTTATTATCACGTGTGACATATATAACGTAAAGTAAGAGAATTTGTACAAAGCAATAAATATTTTGCCATTTGGCATTGCATGCAGTTGTAACTAAACAACTTGTTTAGAATGTCATCCATACGTCATCCACGTCTCGCCTAGTGAAAAAAGGGTCTTGATTGGTAAATTAGTGATCTCAAGTTCAAATTCCATGACATCTTAATTATATGTGTGAGAAGCACCCTCCCATGTAGCTTAGACTATCGCTTGTATTAAAAAAAATGAATAGCAGCCTTACAACATGGAGGCAATGATTTGCCTGTTGGGACAAATTTTTGACGATGTTCGATGTCTTCTACAGCATGTTCCTGATTATTTATTTCAATTTGTTCCAAGAGAAGTCAATAATGTGGCACATACATTGGCAAAATTCGATTTGTTTAAGGAGATTTATTTGACTTGGCTAGAGGTGGCTCTGATTTTATTCAGGAAGTCCTATTAGTTGTTTCTATTGATCTGAGTCAGGCTTCATGCCCCCAGTTGTATTTCTTGATTTCAATAACTGAGTCCTTGTGCTGTGGAGGCTTTATCTCAAAAAAGAAAAAGAAAAAGAAAAAGAAAAAAGAAATAGATCGAGTCATTTTCAACTTTATCTTTGTGAGCTTGTACGAGTTGTAATATTTGTTTTTGGCATAAAGCATGTTTTTTACTTATAATTTGGTGTAATTGCGTAGGCGTAGCCAACCAAGCAAGCACAACCACTTTGCCATTAGTGTTAAAGCACCGTATAGCCTCTGTAGCCTTTGCTTGTGTCAAAAATGTCAAGGGGAAATATGATACGACAAGCACCAACTTGGGCATTATTCAGAGTTTGAGTTTTAAACGCCAACTTCGAATAAGAAGCTTCCTTATATTATTATTTGGGACAGTCTTGTTGCCCGTGTTTATCTAATATTGTAGATTAATTTGTATGTTTGAGCTTCCTTATTGGGTTGCTTGGTTTTGTTGTATTTATGTCATCCTCTTTTTGGATGAGTTTTCGGAATGGAATTCATCATTCGACCCCAAAAAAAAAAAGAAAGAAAGAAAAAAAAAAAAAAAAAAAAAAAAAAAACAGCTTGTATGGGTCCAAGGATTTGGAGTTGGATTTAGATTGAAATCTTTTAACCTATGCATTTAAAATTTGAGATATTTAGTCCTATACCCTTTCTTAGCACTATATAGATAAACCCTATACCATTTAATTTTTATAAACAAACCTAAAAAAATATAAAAAATGACAGCTGACCTTATTGAATTTAATTTTAATTATTAAATTACTTTGATACTCTATTGAATATTTTTGAATTTTTTTATGAAGTTTTGGGATTGGACTTGTTTTAAAAAATTAATGGCAATTTTGTAATTTATAAGAAGTTAAAAGTCTCTTTGTTATGTTATAAATGAACTTTAGATGTGTTTCTAAAATCCATTTTATATATGGTATTTTTATAATTTGGGCCTCTATATTAAGTATAATAGTAAATCTCCCTTAAAACTTATAGATTTCAGATCTAACTGTTTGGATGAAATATTTTATACCAACAATTTTAGTTCAGGAGACCGTAGAGACATACCTGAAAAAGAAAAAGAAAAATTCGAATCCTTCCAAACTCCTAATTTCATATGTTATTTCAAATTCTTATTTTCGAGCCTGTGAAATCTTAAGTGAATTTGGATTATATCCATAAACACTTAAAAGGTTTTCTACCAAACTATATCATAAGCGGTTTTGATACATATATTGACCAAAATTTAAAACACATGATAAAAAAATCCGCCATTTCAGAGTACTTTAATATTAATTATGCAATATTTTTAATGCGTTGTATAATTTTTCAAACATATGTCAAAAATATATACAACACATGGATATCCAAAAGTTGCAAAAGAAATACATTAAACATGAAGAATACGCACACTTGCACAGTACAATTGATGTTAAAAAGTGTGTTTATCATATCTTTGCGAAGTGTACAGAAAACGCAAGGTATGTTTTAAAAATACGTACATACATTTATAATACATGTACCATACGCAAATATACTAACTAGGTTGACAAATGTCCGGGCTAATAAAGCACATGTCCAGTTGAATCACACAGATGTCGCTGCACATGAAACGTAAAGCTACTCAGTGTACTCATCCTAGCAGTCTTAGAAAAAAAGAGAGCACATCACTACATCAGAAGGGGCCGAACCAGGTGGGGATTTCGACCTGCTACTGCTTTGCTCTAGCCTTAAGTCTAGAGCAAGAAGATTACAAATGCATTTTTATACAATCGTTCCAGCAGAAACATGTTTGGGAGAAAAAAAAGGGGCAGGGGTTGGCAGTTGTATACTCCAGAGTGGCAAAAGAGGATGCCATCAACCAAACAAAATGGCATTCCATTCTCATACAACTTCTGGTCTTTATACTATACCAAGTTAATCTGTGCTCTTAAAAAACATGCAGACTAGGTAGAATTCAAATGGATGAACACACACAGAAAAAAGCAGTCCAAGTGGGAAAGGCCACTCTCGATGAATATATCACATGGCTGTATACATAATTCTACATATGAATAGCATGCCTATCGCGAAAAGAAAATAGGGGTGGGAATCAAATGGCTAGTAGTAGAGAAATTCAAGGCCAGGGCAAGGCTGAAAATTAAGTATGGTTTTCTTAATCAGTTTGCTAGTATATAACAAATTCTGCAACCGACAAGCTATTTAGACTATAGATTAAAGTGCCGATAAGTTAAATTGAAAGGTAGAAGAAAATCTTCATACCCATATAATTTAATAAAAGAAAAAAACAACGTAGAATCAAAGAAAGAAACCTACAATGCTAGTTAAACCAAATACATTAATTCCTAATCACAATATCCAAACCTTCACCAGATAACTTGACCCAACTTACATCACTGACAAGGCTGACTTTTCACACAACATCATATTGTTTTCTGCATGTTCTCTTTTTCAAGAAGTGAACTTGATGCTTTAGCAAACTCCTAAGAAACAGCAAATAGTGTAAGAAATTGATTAGCAAATGCTCATTGGTTGCCCATTCTTGCCACACTATTGCATATCAAAGCTTTTGTTCAGTGCACGGATAAAAGCTTCCATTCCATTTCCTTGTAATTTTCTATCATTAATGTATTATAAAAGTTGTAACTTTTTTTGCCTATACTTTGCTGGATCCACGGTCATTCAACACCTTGGAATGCCTAAAGAAATTCAATACCCGTTGTGCACCAGCATGCTAATACAACTCATGTGTCAAAGCAGGTTAAAATTCTAAACATTAAACAAACAAATGAATTAGGAGCCTGAAAGGGAGCAAGATGCTGCTACAAAGAACATTGCCAAAAACAGAGAAACTTTCATTTCTAACTGCTTATGATTAAAAGCAGTGGCAATGAGAAAAAAAAAAGATCTCCAATCAAACAGGCAGACTACGTAGGTCAACTTAAATCATCTAACTTAATTTCAGAGACATGCTCACCTTAAAAAATGCTACTGTTAGTCATTCTCAATATATCATTAATCCCTATATGTCTGATGTTGACACGTGCATCAAATAAACCTCTCTTGTATACAATGATGTGCTTCTCTTATGACAAAGTAGTCACTTGCACATTCCTACTTGAAATATATACATATAAAAAAAGAGTCGCCCATAATCCAGCCAGAAAATTGCCTTTGGGCACAAAGACAGCTCCTCCCCATTTAAGAACAAGCCTGTAATCTCGTGGGAGTGTGGCTTGCTGAATTACCAAGCAAATAAAACAAACCTAGCCAGCTCTCCTATTCTATTTCAGTATTATTTGTAAACTCTGCTTCTAATATAATTCAGTACTATTGACCAAAATAAAATCAGTACTAATTGTTAAGGAGCATCAGGCACCCATCATCAAACAGAACGAAAACACATCAACAATATAAATCTCTTATCAACGCACAATCATGCTTCTGAATCAGTAATGCATTCATAAACTAAATTATCAGGGTAACTATTAGCAGACAACATAAACAAAAGACCCTGACACAATAAACAGCAAATAAACAAAATATGACAACATAAACCACTCAAATCAGAGTATGTATTTAAACGTCAACACCTTAATACAAATACCATATAAGTTCTGAACCCTCAAATGCATTTTCCAAGTTGCAGTAAGCATCAAAACCATAGATTAAGTAAAACAATAGAAAATACACTTTCCCCAGTTCCCAATTTACCTCTCTCACTCTCATCCCGCTCTTGCCTCCGCCTTCGCATTCCCTCTCTCCACCTTTTTCGCCTCTGTCTTTTCCGGTTTCACTGCCTCCCCCGAACAACACCCACCTCCATGTTCATGATGGTGATGATGGTGATGATGATGCGCATGCCCATGCCCATGACCATGTCCATGACTATGTCCATGTACCTTCTTCCCCTTCAGCTCCTTCCTCATATCATACGCATCTTCCCCATCGGCATAGTACTTAGCTTCAACGTCATGAATCTTATACCCCAAAGTCTCCGTATACAAGTTGAAAGCCGCACGATTGCTCTTCCTCACATGAAGCGAGACGTACTCAGCTGCAAACACCTGTTCCATGGCGTTCTGGGCCGCGCTCATGAGCTTAGTGGCGAGGCCGAGTTTGCGGTGGGTTCGGAGCACGGCGAGCGAGGTGATGTGGCCATGGCACTCGTTGCTCTCCTCTTCCATCTTGGCTAGGACGTAGCCGACGATGCGACCGTTGTAGTCTTCGGCGACGTAGAGGAGCTGAGGCCATGAGAGGATGTGGTAGAGGTAGTATTTCATCTGGTAGTTCTCTGGGAGGCAGAAGAGGTTGCAGGCTTGCATGGCCAGGAGGTCGTCTATGGTGGCCTTGCGTATGCACACCATTTTTGGGGGAGGGTCTAGGTTTCTAGGGTTAGGGTTTTTAGTTTGATTTGATTTTGGGGAAGAAGAAAATCAGAGTGAGGTCAAAGAAATGAATTGAGGGTTCTGAATTTTTAATGAGATTGGCTTCGGGTGGGTGTGAAGGCTTGGGCTCAATCATGGGCTTAATCAAATTACACATGGGCTTAAAGTCTCTAATTTTCCAAAAAGGGAAACAAATTCTGCCATTGTTACAAAAACAAACTTTGGGGTTAAAGGACTTTTATTTATTTATTTATTATTAACATGCAAATGTCAATTTTTAAAAAAAACAAATGATAGTCTAAATTAGGGTATCTCATACGCACAACTAAGATGCCATGAGGGTGAACCTGAGACATCTTCTCGACAAGCCAGTACCGTTTTCTACTGGACTAGCCCCCGTTGACTATAAATTTCATTAGATAAATTCCAACAATACAATATAACAAATACATTTACAAGACAGAAAAAGCCCCAAACCTTAAAAACCCATAAAGGGAAATATGCATGATTAAGCTATGATGAAATTCTTCCTTTTTTTTAAATACTTATTTTTGTAAAAAATTTATATTTACCAGTTCTGCTATCAGAAACAAGAAGGCCACATAAGCAACTTCCATGTTTAATTTAAACGTTTTCTGTTACCTGTTCAATTCTGTAACTGTAGGTAAATTGGACCAACTATTTTTCTCAGGAGCTATATTGAAAACAGGTTTGCATTTTTCAAGAATAAAGTGTTGTAGTTTGTCCAAGAACCAGAAGCTAAAGTACGAATCTGAGAAAAGAAAACAGGGAAATGAGGTCTTGACCATAAACCATAATATAAACAACTGGAAACTGAGCGTATTTCAATGAAATGATCGATAATCATACATGAACTTATAGATCTACATTTATCATGAATATCATCATATCCTAGCAAAAACAGAATGGCCTCAGTCAAGAGTCAAGATCAACAACACCTAAGGAAAAGGAGTCGCCTCTCAGCCTCAGTCAAATTTCCAGATTCTGATGTACTTGCTGTTGTGTGTGGTGATAACCTTCTTCATCCCTACAGCCAAGCACGTAATTGGAGGTCGACAGCTTCTGAGAATGCTGTCAATGGTGGTATCTTCTGAAAGCCTTCTTCCCCTCGTTCTTTGTGTAGCCCCAAGTGTGTTTTGTGAACTTGGTGATAAATAACCGTCCAAGATGCATCTTGAAATTACTTCACCTGTGCTCTGATTCAGTAGACGTAGCACACCATCTATTCCACCAACAGCCAAAGTTGATGCATCATTTCTCTGGTGTTGCATTGAATATACACTATTTTGACTCACTCGTGTCTTCCACAAAAGTCCCATCCTGAATTACATAATGGAAGAACATGGTCAATCAACTACAACTGGATTACATCATCTGTTACTGTCAAAAGAGTGAGATCCAAGGGTGGAGGTGGCGCCAACTAGGACAGAAAGAGTCAGGCTGACCCATTTTTGAGGTTTTGTATACTACTTGTATGATTTCAAAACAATCATATAAAAATTATGGATTCTATTCGGAGTAGTTCACTCCGAGAGAACCCTAAATGACTGTAAAGAAAGTGAAGATTCGAAAACCATGAAATGAATGAATTCGTCCCTATTGAGAAGCCAATTACAACGGATGGGCAATACTGACCACATTGACAAAAGCTGAACACGATTAATGAGAGGTACATGAACATCACAAATTGAAAGTTACCTCCCGCAATTCTATTACAAATGTTGTTCTGTAAGAAGCTATTAGGCTTGACTTTTCTTTTCAGAGATTTAAAGTAATGCAAACCTAGTATTTAAAATTGTAATGATGTGGAAATATGGAAACAGATAACATAGATTTCATCAGAAATTAGAAAGCTAAAGTATGAAATAGATTTACCCAGGTAAGTTGAGATTCTTTAAATAACATATGAAGTCATATTCCATACCTTAGGTCCCAACAAAGTCCATATCCAGTAGCAGTTCCAGCAAATACTTGGTGAGAGCAAGGGTTGAAACATAAAGTCTTTATGCCTGCCATGAAAAGTTTAAACTAGATTTATGCTCTCATGAATATTAACTTACCACTCCATGAAAGAGTATTAATAAAACCCATAAATATATTACTTAGCATATATTATATGTCCCAACAGAGCCAACATTTCCAAACAACTGCAATGAGATCTCTTTCATTTCTCTTTCACATGAATACAATTCATTCAACAAGAACATAAGGGTACAACTAAGACTACATCCAGCAGTTATCAAGCACAAACATATGTTAGAGAGTACAATTATGGCTTCTAGTTGATCCCATTTGCAGCCCACAAGTACTCACGAAAAAGAAAACAGAGAGTACTCTATTCATTTATAGTCAATTAATAAGTTCGGGTTTCAACTCTCTTTCTCTCTCTCTCTCTCTAACAAAACAAAAAATAAACTCCAGACAGAAGACAAAATTACTGTCCATGTTATGGGCATACAAAGAAGCAAATATTTCAGAAAACAGCAGATATAAGATAACCATAGTTAGAATCTGATTGTACTCCAAAAGTTCTTGGTAGAGCAGGCATAAAAAGTAACCTGAGGAATCTTGTGATCGTAACTTCACTACCCGCTCGCCAGATGAAAGTGCAGATAATGTGACATCGCCAAGAGAAGAACCACTAAGCATCAACTGATCATCACTCAAACATAAGCATTTTACTGGCCCCTCATGTGCCCTACAATCAGGAATCAAAAGAAAATAACATGGAGTCCATAAACCATTGAGCAATATAAATGCATATTACAACAATACTGAGAATTTTAAGCCAGACAGGAAGTTTAATCTAAACTATATATCCCCTTGGCCCCTTTACAGGCAAGAATCTATCTCTCGCTTGAAAATGCATGTCTACAAGTCAAACGGTCTTCTTAAGCCTTATTCATTAGCTCTATTTTTACAGGAAAAAACAAATATAAACACCATTACGAAAATGTATTTCTTGCAGTGGATACCTAATGATTTGAGAACATTTTCTACTGTACATGTCAAATACACGAACTGTCCCATCCTCACAGCCGACCACAGCCTCAGGATCGCAGTAACTGCATTCAGAGAAGAATGTAATATTTGTACACACCAAAAGCAAACTTTCAAATATATATATTCCAAAACAGAAATAATCCAGTAGAGAGAATTTTCACAATATTTTGAAGGACCTTCAGCAAGTAAAGCATCTTGTATAGCATTCGAGTCTATAACAATAATAGTGGCAATACTAGTAACCTAAAACAGAATATAATCAATCAAAATTAGGGAATAGAAGCTCAAAAGTAAAATATTCAGACAATCAAATGCTCAACCATTTGATGAAAGAAAGTAAATAATAAATCTCCAAGTTTAGGTTCTTAGTCTTTACCATGCATATTGCTGCTGATGAAGCAATGCATTTTACCACTTACATTTACAACTAAAATTAATGACAGTATTATTATTTTGTCCACATACCGCATGCATAAACCCTTCGAAAAGGTTCCCTCATGTGAGGGAAATATTCTTCTTATCCCATTCTGCCTCCATATGCATATACGAGTGCCAACCAAGCCAACAATCTACAGAAAAGTAAGAGGGTTGTATAGATATCAGAAAATTCCCTTAATAAAAGAAAACAATGTGCTTTCAATAAGTATAATTAATTGGATGCATTAGCTATTCACATTGAGGATGAGAGGTCAAAATTACCATGACGAATCATCCATATCAGTCTAAACTAGAGACGGTTAAAAAAAAAGGGGGAATTATTTCCAAGGAAGCTAGAAGAATTTAGTACGCTCAATAGCATATTTTACAAACACATATATTCTGTCACATAATCGATGTTAATGCTACACTTGCACTTGTACGTTGATCTATTAAATGAAGATGCATACATGACATTCCAATCCTACAAGAACATGTGATCTAGCAAACAACAACAGTCACTGTCTTACATTTTTTTTGGACTGATATTTGATCTATAACATGGTTGATAGAATTTCAGTACATTTGCTTAAATGAAAAACCAAAAATTAATAGTTCAACTGACCTTGCTCTCATCAAAATCAAAGTCAACTAAACGGACTCTGTCTGGAATGGGATATTCCCCTACACATTTATAGCTCTCCAATGACCAAAGACGCATAACCTAGCATCAATGCCATGCCAAAAACTCAGAAGAATACACTGAAAATAAAGCTTGTGAAAGGATAACCACAAAACTATTGACAATTGTGTAGGTTCTGGATTCTAGTACTACAAGCTATCAAACGGAAAAAGCCACCGAGCAGAACAAGCAAAGGCCAAAGTTGCTCAAAAAGACGTAACCTGTTGAAAGGTATGATAGAGAAAACAGAAAAGGCTAGAAATGCAACAGAGGCCTTGGCTTAAGTGGCAAAGCAGTGAGGGTTGGTATTAAGTGGAAAAGTCCATACATGCAAGTTGAGCTAGTTTGAACTGGCAAAAAAGGACCATTGATTCAATAATACTATTGTCCTCAAACAGAAAAATTATTTCACAGCCAAACTCATTTAGTTTAGATATGGCATTTTTTAATATGACCTTAAGCCAGATTCACCAGCTAAGTAGGGAATACTTGTACAAATGATACATATGTTGGCCAGATACCAATACATATGATTTACATTCTATTGTAACAAGTCCACAAGCATATTCAAAAGCTAATAATAATTCGTAAGGTAACTTATTTCTTGCTTCATGAACACGTCAGACAGTATACAGTTGAAATATCACCATGAAAAAAATATAGGGAGGACTAGTGGTGTAGGAACTTATAAGTTATGGAGCTTAAAATAATCTAATGTTCCCTTCTTAGTTCTTCTGTGGATCAGAAGTTTGTGCATTTTGATAATTATAAGTTATGGAACTTAAAATAAATTTATACATAAAAGCTAGCTTTGTAAGCTCTGTACAAGGGAAACTACCTTATCACCGACGCCAGTAAGAAGCAACCCCATCTTCGTTCGACACTGTTCACCCCTAATAGAGAGCAAGGTTAGAAAAATGATACATCCCCGTAGAGAGCAGCAGGCCTAGGCTTCACATACACAGTAAGACAAATCCCCTCCCTCATCAATCTATGAGCCTACTTACACTCATAGCCAACTAAACCAGACATGTAACTTGAGAATTTGTTTGATGCCCCAGGTTCAGAATCTTGTAATACCAAATACAGAAATTATAATCTTAACTGTGATTAAAATTGAAATATGAGGAGTGAAATATCTCCTGAGGTTTAACGAGCATTAGGGTTCATATTTGTTTGCCACTCTCAGTTAATGAGACAACTGATTTCTTCACTAAAGGTCTTCACAAGCAATGGTCCAAGTTGTTAAGCTTCAAATTCTTTGATGTACGACCCCTTGATTAACTGCTAGATTGTTTAGGTTACTGACATCTAAAACCTTCATGTATTGTAATTCTTTTTTGGTTGAATCATGTAAAATGTAAAGACACACAATTATTAAAAAAAAACCTTTACATGAATGAAGAATCACAACAATTCCATCATACCCAACAATAAAACTAGAAAAGTAAAGGACAAAAAAAGAGGTAAAATTGAATTGTAAGGACAAAGGCAGTACCCAACAGAGTGACCCCTCAAGTGATCAACACGAATTCGACCTTCCTGTAATGCCAGTCTATGACCCTCCACAGCCATCTCCTCCAAATAATCCTTCCAAGATTCCTCAGGACATTCTTTAGACCTATTGCTGGAACCCAGAAAACCCGTCTGCCATTTTTTGCGGTAAAACAATTGGAGCAACTTAGAATTGTTGATAATCGCACTCCTGCATTGAACAAAAACCCATTGCAAATTCACCTTCGAAATTCCGGAAGAACAAATAGTTGAAAGAGAGAGTGGGAGAGCCTACCAGGATTTGCATACGACGGAACAACTTGCGAGGTCGAAGCAGTCGAGTAAAGAGAAGATGATGCAAAGGATGTCGTGTTGGAAAGAGCCGACTGTGGTCGGAGCTCTTGCTCTTGAGCTTCTGCGCGGCCTCTTCTTGTCGCCGGCGAGAGAGAGATCCATATGTGGTGGTAAGCTTCCGGCTTCAACGCCTGGCTGAATATTATTTTTTTCAGTCTCTGTCTATCTGCTGGTTAAAGTCGTCGAGTTCTAGGTCTATACTTTTCTTCCGGCGAAAAACGAACGAGAAGGTCTCTGACTCTCTGGTTAGTCTCACTAGTTTGAATAGGATTCGATTAATGTCTTCGAAGGTTGTGTGATAATCAATTAAATTAATTGAAAATGCATCCATATGATATTTTTGGGCAAGATGTTAAGGGCCCGTCTGGTAACGTTTTCGGAGAATGTTTTCTGAGAATATTTTCAGAGAATGAAAACAAGAAAACAAATTTGCATTTTTAGGAAATGAAAATGCGTCTGGTAGATAATTAGAAAACATCTTTAGAAAACAAAAACAATAAAAACGTGTTTGGTAGTACAATTGTTTTTCATGTGTATTTTTGCTAATTTTAGTTCTACTTTTTTAAAAATTCTTATATTTTTAGAGGCTAAAATTATTATAAACAATGAAAATATGTTTGGTAGTACAAATTGAGAATAATATTATGTGAATTATTTTTCAAGGGTATTTTTGCTAATTTCTGTTTTGAAAAAATATTTTTTAAAATGTATAATTTAACAAATGAAAAATTCTATTGTTTTTTAAAAGATAAAACTATCTTTTTTCTTTTTTCTTTTCTCCTTTTTCTCCTTTTCTTTCTTTCTTTCTTCCTCTTTCCTTCCCAGACCCGTTCCTTTTTGTTTCCTTCTTCCTCTTCTCTACTTTCTCTCTTCTTCTTCCTTCCTTCTTTTTCACTCTCACTCCTCCTTCCTTCCATTACACGAATCCCATCAACCCATCTCTCCGGTTCCACTAATTAATGGTTGTGATGGTTAGATTGGGTGGTGATGGTGGTTGAGCTGGGTATGTGGTGGCTGGTTTCTCTCATCTCTCCCTCTGCAACTCTCTCTCTCTCTCTCTTTTTTCCCTTTCCCTTCTTCTCCCTCTTTCTGATTCTTTCTCACCTTCTTCTTCCCCTTTTTTTTTCTTTTCTTCTTCCTCTCTGTCTTTTTTTCTTAGTTGCAGATTTGTGTGATTATGAGTTTTTTTTTCTAGAAATTTTAGGGCTGATTATGGTTGGAAGGAGGAGATTTGATTGTTTTGGATACAATTTGATTGGATTGTTTGCTCAAGTGACGGAGGAGAGTTGGCTTTGATTCGGAGAGACTGAAAACAAAAACGCCGAAAACAAAAACGACTTTCTGGCGTTTTCAACATTTACTCGTACTTTCATTTTCATTCCCAGAAAACAATTTCAGCTTGTTTCTCAAAACAACCCACCGAACACGTTTTCACATGAAAACAGAAAACAAAAACAGAAAATGGCCGTTGAAAATGATACCGAACGGGCCCTAAGTTTTTAATCGAGTTTTCTATTTAAATCATGCACTTCTCTTTGTTCACCTCATATTCTAAGTTCACTCCAAATTCTAATTTAAGTTTTCACAATTTCTAAAAAAATCACACTATTTTCCCAAACTACCTCTAAATACACACCCAGTAGGAAAAAAAAAACAAAAAAAAAACTCATAAACTCACACTCCACAGCCCACTATCAAATGAACCGACAAGCTCTTTTCAATTGTTAATGCGATCTTGATACGGACTATACCAATCAAATGCTTGGAGGTTGGAATGATTATGTCTAATAAAATGTTTACAGATTTGGACCCCTACACAGACCAACATTTATCATTCTTGGCGCACATAACATGGTAAAGAATTTATATCTCTGCCAACAACATGTTTACTGTGGATTTTCAAATCAGTTTCAGGAAATGAACAAGTAATTTTTACATGAAGATTATTCGACTGTTGGTAGGATAACCATGCACAACACAAGCACGAGATGGACTGTGCTCATAAAGAAGAACCGCGACTATTATTTTTTTGTAAAATAACAGAGCGATGGGCTCTATTTTTTTTTGTAACAAATGGCTGTTGGCTATCCTTATATGGCTCTTTATAGATGTATTAGGGTTAAGTATTAAGTTGGATGACTTTTTTGTGTGTGTGTGTGTGTGTGTGTGTGTGTGGTCTTTTTACATAATAATAAAACTTAAAAGCTTATTGATTTAAGTATTGGGGTCAACAAAGAAAAGTGTGGAGTTTAAATAGAAAAACTCTTTTTAATCTCAATGTTGGGGGTACTCTTTCACAACATTATTGATTTATGTTGATGATATTGTTATCACGAGCAATGACCCTATAGCTATCTCGGCACTCAAGGATTTTTTGCACAGTCATTTTTCGTATTAAAGATCTTGGAGATTTGAAATACTTTCTCGGGATTGAGGTATCAAGATCAAAACAAGGCATTTTCTTATCTCAATGCAAGTATGCATTGGAAATTTTGAAGGATGCAAAACTCCTAGGTGCTGCACCTGTTGGTTTTCCTATGGAAAAAGGTCTTAAGCTCTCGGACAAGGATGAATTACTTAAAGATCCAACTCATTATAGAAGACTCGTTGGTTGCTTAATTTATTTGACAATCACAAGGCCAGACATTACTTACTCTATTCATGTCTTAAGCAGGTTTATGCATGCCCCCACGTAAAACTCGCCAGGTCAAGGCAATATTATTGTCTTCTTAGAATAACTTGACTTTGCTTGCCTTCTGTGATTCTGATTGGGCAGGTTGTCCTCATACTAGAAGGTCTACTACAGGTTATTGTGTGTTTCTGGGATCTTCTTTAACTTCATGAAAATCTAAGCAACAGAAAACTGTATCTTTATCTTCAGTAGAAGCTGAATATAGATCTATAGTGGTAGCATGTTGTGAGTTGTCTTGGCTTCGATCCCTTCTCAAGGATTTGCACATCCTTCATCTTGAGGGGGAGTATTAGGAAATAAGTTTGTATAATATCGGTTAATATCAATACTATTGTAATTAGGATTTACTTTCCTAGTAGGTTTTCTAGATTCGAGAACTTGTTTCCTTGTACACTAAGGGGTCGTTTGGTACGATGGATTGTCATGGACTAGACTAAACACTAAGATTGTCTTGGATTGGCTTTACTTGGCATAAGCTGGATAAGCCTAGTACTGCATTTGGTGTACGATTGGATTAGGACTAAATTTTTAAAATTTTTAAATCTTTAAATTTTAAAAAGAAAGCAAATGAATTTTTATTTTATTTTTACTTCTCTCTCCCTCTGCTATTTCTTCTTCATCTTCTCTATCTGCGTCTTTTCTTTTTCATCTCTTCTTCTCCCTACTCTCTCTCCTTCCCTTCTTCTAATTTCTACCCCACCTAAAAACATCATCTAGTTTAGATACTTTGGCTTTGGTGTGGTAAGTAATTTGCAGAAACAAATTTGAGGGAGAGGCAGGAGCTCACACCTAAATCATGGCAGAAATCCACAGCCCACACCAAAATCATCATCCACAAACAAACTTGAGAGAGAGGCAGAAGCAGACTCAAATTGATGAAGACCCAAAGATAAATCGTGGAATAGCTTCAATCGCCGTGGTGGTTTGTCGTCGCCTACACCGACTGCCGTCGCCGTCTACCATCTTTGTTGTTGCCTGCCATTGCCATCTGCAACCCATAGTCGGTGGTTGTGATTGCTGTTTGGGTGGTCGGTGGTTGCCGCTAGCGCTTGGGTGGAGTTGGTTGCAGAGCTTTGGTCGGGACTAATAGTCCCTCATTTTCACATGGGTTTCGCTAAGAACACCTAAGAAGGTGTTTTTGGTGGGCCTAGGATTACTAATCCCACTTAATATTAGGACCAGATGACAACAAACATGGGATTAACTTTTAGTCAAGCCAATCCAAGCCAATCCAAGCCAAGGAGGTGTAACAAATAAGCCCCACACTCTTGTATAAACCAATTGTACCTATCAATTAAAACCATTCTCTTCCAATATCAAATTCACAGTTTAGTCTTAGAATAGGTGAAGTAGCCAAATTAAGTCAAATCGTCTCCTTGAGATAAACATAGCCATGTGAAACTGAAAATCATATCAACAATCATTACACCAAAGAATAGAATCAATCATAATCAAAAGTAGCTATCAATGCTCAAATTACCACACTCATGCCCTTATATTTTTTTTTGTGTGTGTGGAGAAACTATAGGCTTTCTAACTAAGAGTACAAACTGATAACCACCAAAATGAGATAAAGTTCGAAAATACCAATCCATAACAATACAAATAAAAAAAACTCTCACAAAGGAAAGGTAAAAAGGTCTCAGAGAAGGATGAAAAACTCTTTTAAGTTTTAGTCATCCCCCTGCATCTATGGTGAGCCAATCTTCAACATTAAGTTTTAGTCATCAACCTCTTATAGATAGTTTCCATTCTTCCTCCAAGTTAGGCAGCATATCCATATTATGTCTTGAATGCACATGAAATATAGGCATTTGACTAGTCTAGGCTAGTCTAATCTAATCTAGTCCTCCCCATCAAACATTGTGTAACTAAAGAAATAATCAAGCCTAATTTGTAAAAAAGTTTATGTCAAACATGCATGATCAACACTTGGAACCAATAAAAGAGAGTATCCCGAATTAGTTATGCACACGTCCAGAAAAGCTACAATATGCAATTATGGTGGAGCTATGTAGGGACTAAAGGGGTTCCAGATCCCTTCTCAACTCTTTACTCTCTCTCTCTCTCCTCTCTCTCTCTCTCTCTCTCTCTCTCTCTCTGTAAATAATTTAATGTTGTGTTTATTAATTGAATTGAATATTGAAGGAGGATCAAAGGTTTTATATATACAACAATCATAGCATGTTGTGTAAAATCTGTAATTTAAAAGTTTATTTCTTGATTTTTACTTTAGGGGATATTGGTTTAGAAAAATAATGCGTAGAATCTCTACTAGAACTTTGCAGTGTTTATGCTCTCATTCCCTTCAATTTTTATATTTCGCAAGCCCTCTAACATCAATTTCTGGCTTCGCCACTTATAGATAGTTTGGGCATTTTGGACTAACTATACAGCTTATTACAAGACAATCTTTAGGGGGTAGGGGTTCAATTGAAAAGCAATTGTTATGAACATTTATTAATCAATGAATATAAATTACAACTAGAAGAGCGTGAAATCAAGTGACCTTGTGTGGACTAAAAAATTAATAAAAGGTAATGACATTCTGATTGCTAGAAATATTTAAAGAAATTAAGTATGTCTTGTAGTATTAGGGAGTGGTGTGCCATCAAGGAAGTGCTTGATGAGGGAAAGTCCTCTTGCAGGCTGATAGCTTGGCACTTGATGCCCTGCCCCTCTCACTGTAGCAAATGTTAGCTCTCCTTCATACACTTGTGTGTAACCACCAACCTGTTGCACAAGACAAATATATATATATATATATATATATATATGAATAAAACATCCAAAATAATTAACGCCAAAGACTTTCAAAGACGTGGTTTTGAAAATCCGAAGACAAAAAAGATGGGGAAATGAGAAGCTACCTCTCCACCAATAAACCAAGCATGCCATTCAGTCTTTACTGGAAGATTCAGCTTTTCAATAGAATATTTTGTTGAAGTGACTGGTACCACTCCATCTATGTCTCCACTGCATTCATTATTTCCATAAGAATGAGCTGGTATTAGCTTTAGAGTTCAAATACTGAAACTCCAGAGAAGCAAATTACAAGTTTAAGATGATGAAGAAGAAGAAGAGTATCAAAATTTCACCTAAAAATCCACACTCGAACATCATTAGCCAGGAACTCTTTTAAAAGGGGCACTACGGTCGATGCACTATCGGCCCAGTTTGTTATAACATCACTGCATGGTTCCCAGTCATGTGTGAGTTTAGTAACATTGGCATGGAGAGCTTGTTGAACGTATGGCCGGTTAAAATAAGCATAAGCATAGTACTCGCTGCACGGGTCAAATTCGAATATCTGCAGCTCGGCAGTTCAACACAACAAAATGTTTTGAAAACAGCAGATGGTAAATACCTACATGCTGTATAATTAAGGGCGTTGTTTTTAACTTACTGAAGCCTTTTTGGGTTTTGCAGTGAGGTTGGAGGAAACGCATGAGGAGGCATAGATGTTGTAAATGTCAATGTAATAGGTATCCTTAGCTGCAGCATCAGCGGCATCAATGCACTCCTTAGGCTGCTTTGTGGCATTGGGTGAAAAATCACAATATTTGTTGATTTTGTTTGCAGTTTGATCCGAAATGAGGGCGTGGCTTGCTAAGTAGTCGTACATTCCTCTTGAATCAGTTTCATAGTTAATCACTGCATTTCCAATCTGGATCATGCGCCAAGTAAATTTTTACTTACCCAAGAAGGGTGACAATTTGAAGTGAAAAAAAAAGAAGGGAAAACAGAACATTATTTTATTCTTAATAAACAAACCAAACATGGGAATAAAAAAAAAGACATTAAATGACCCTCATTTCTAGTGTTCTAAAAATCAGTGAATGAACATCTTCCATTCTTCTGAGATTAAAAAATGAGAGTTTCATTACGAGAACGAAACTAGAGACCCATAAACAATAGTGGATTTCTTACACAACATTGTACGAGCCCGACACACACCTCCCAACATGCAGAACTTTTTTGTTTCTTTACCCAATTTATGGACTTATACTCAACCATATTCCACTTGATGCTTTCATTACAACATACAATAAGCAAATTTTACGAGAAACACAGAGTAAAAGATATATGATGACAAATAGGAACGTATTTTGCTCCACCAAATGTGGGCATTTAGCCACTTGCTAGAGGGACCAATGCAAAGCATTTTCCCAAGACCTTTACAATTACAACTTTCACTATGACATGACCCAATTCAAATTCCACTTTGGAATCTGCGTCGAATCCTGTGCATGTCCGACACTTAGCAGGTGCTGGGCACACTTGACCAAATTGCTCTTCTAACTAAGACTCAAAATTATTTTAAAGTTTGATTTCTACCGAAAATTCGGCAGAACCTCCCCTGTAAATTGCTCGTTTCCCAAAATTTACACGTGTACAGAAAGCAATTCATATATCCAGAAACGTTTAGCATGCATTAGACAAATAGCTTTAAATAGTTTCAGACCTCTTTATACCAAATAAATCATTTTGTTGTTTGAAACTGGTCTCTACTCTTAGAACAACATGAATATGTTATCAAGTTCCAATGTAACTTAACTAAACAAATTTTCAACAACTGATCTTGTGGCTGCAACTAGTAACTCTAGGTTGCCTACGTACCCTTACTAAGGAATCAAGCCATACATAATTCTTTCACTTTTCACATTTGCACTTGTATATCTTCATCAATTGTTATTTTTCAATGAAATTTGCAAATCAATCCATTGAAACTCAAGCAAGGGCTGTTGATTTCAAAAAAATCTTCCACTCATCCCATGCGTGCATATACAAATATATATATATATATATATAATAATAAACTTATTACAGATAAGTAGGAAAACAAGGAAATTATTACAATAGATTTGACCACATGAAACCTTAACATCAATATTAATAATTTAAATAAAACATGTTTCCCTCTTTCACATTTAAAAACAAATTCATCACTTAAAAAAAAATTGTGAATTATATAAAATCCTTAAAACTTAGAAAACTCTCAATCCTTGTCTCATAAGTTGGAAAACATATATTAAAACCTTCACCAATAAGTACCAAGATAAAAGTATCAATTTTAGTTTAAAATATCTCAAAACTCAAATACTATCCATCTAGGCGTACCCCTATTCATAACCCGTCAATTCCACTAATATTCTGTAAATTCCAATAATGTTCCGTAAATTCCATCATTTTATATTTATTTCCCACATTATACCGTCAATTCCAATGTGTCACATAAGCTACACATCCTCACAGGCCTCAGAAACACAAAGTCAACTCGAGCCAACACTTAGTCAACTTGAGCCGCATTCCTCCTTCCTCATGATCCAGATATCCCTAAGACTCGTGGGGCATTATCATAAATGACTAAACTGTTCCAAAGGCATTATCATAAATGACTAAACCATACTCTGAAACTCATCATAAAATTTCTCTTATTCCACAAATCCATTTTTCAAATCTTTTCTCAACTTTCCAAAAATCAGTTCTCAACTACATTTGAATTTGCACCACATACTGTTGAGAACTAGTGTCCATAATTCATCATTTTCAAACCACTGAGTATATATGTTAAATATAGACATATACTTAGATATTTAATTAATTTACTAGTCACTCCAAAATCCGATTAATAAGCCATTCCCAACTTTACACAATCAAACATAATATAATATTCTTAGAAAGTATAAGCGATTACATAGTAACTCATAAACATTTAAATAATCCAATATCACTCAGTCATATACTTTAATAATAATCATAATAATAATAAATATATAAATAATAACCCCTAGAGATCCCATAACTTCCAATATTGCATTCGAATACCAAAATAACACCCAAGAATACCAAAGCGAGACTCCATCAAAATCCGCCACTAATACTATAACATAATCTCATAATCCAAATATAATCAAAATAAATCACATAATAGTCAAGCATTAATAATATCGTTCTTGAACTTCTTGAAGGATGAAACCACCTCGGAAGACTCTCGGTCATCCGAGGGATCAAACTTCCCATAATGGTCAATGGACCCGCGGGGCCCACGACCTCCGATTTCCGATCTGAAAGTTCCTACAGATTAAACCAAGTCTACAAAACACGTTATGCAAGTTTAATCTCGATCGAGTAGTCGGATCGCTTGAGATCGCACTATCGGACGGTTACCATTTATCCTAAATTTTGAATTATTGAATCGGAGCATTCGGGACTCTGATTCATGATTCACGAATTCCCACACGATCCTAGAAATTCCTAGATCAACATATTTGAAAATGAAGTCTATCTAACTGTCTGAGCATATCGAACTAGGATAACGCTCAATATGAGATATCCGATCGACAGTCAAACGATAACCAAATTGAAATCCGAGCATACCGTCGTGCTCGGGACGACATGAAGATTATTTTAGGACCAAAAGGGTCACCCAAACAGTGCCCACGGGCAGCCACACGCGTCAGCTGGGAGTGGTGCCCAAAGAAATTTCGACGACCGGAAAGCCTCTAAACCGTTGGTCAAGACCTATACCTACGTGACCTGGGCAATGAATGGAGCAATTTTTGTTCTTGGACCATGGCCAAAAAGTGGCCGGGAGGGAGGAGATGTCACCGGCCAAAGATCGGTGGCTATTTTGGTCATGAGAGAGAGAGGCTACGGGAGGGAGAGAGAGAATTGAGGGAGAAAAGAAAAAAAAATCTGGGTTTTAAAAAAGGGTAATGATTTCTCCACTCTTAAAAAAAATAACTTCAAAAAATATTTACGGTTATGCCATTGAGCTTCCGTATATTATAATTTCTTTGTTATAATTCCAATTTGAGCATACTACGTGTTTACGGACTCATCTCGATGTGCTCTACGCAACGATACTACTACAATCCCCAAATTCTTTCACAAATAAAAAGTCAACTTTTAAACCCATTAAAATATTCTCGAGATAAAATTATCTTTTATTTGAATACTCTAATAATTAAATATTAATTTAGAATCAGTTATTACACACTAACTACCAAGAATCCAAGAACATAGTACCAAATAGAGTCTAAATTCCAATTATTATTAGCAATAGATTTTTACTTCACAATAGAGAGAGAAAGAAGGAAAGAATTACCATTATGCCCTTGAGGTTGATAATTGTCTTGTTAGCCCTCTTATTATGGTAAAGAATAGCGTGTGCAAGTTGAGGTACATAATGCCCTGCATAGCTTTCACCAGAAATATAGAACTCTCTGTCCTTGTGTTCTGGAAATCTCTCCAACCAATTCACCAAAAACACATAATTATCTGCAGCTGTTCTTCTATCCCCGTTGGCATCATAATCAGATGTTTTATTTGAGTAAGAAAATCCCACCCCGGCAGGGGACTCAAGGAACAAAACATTAGCAGCTGAAAAAAATACAAAAAAAAGAAAAAAAGAAAAAAAGAAGAAGATCAATTTCTTTAAGCATTGAAAATCATTCTTTAGTCCCTTTTAATTGTGTTAGATTTACCATAGTTCCATGAAAATTTGTTTTGGTAAAGTGTTTTTCCATCGCTGTGGATTCGGAACGGTCCAAGCTCTAGCATTGCTCCATAGGCAAGAGAAGAACATCCAGGTCCTGTGAAGACATTAAGTCATTGCAACGTTTAAATTATAGACATACAGGTAATATAATTATTAAATTGTCATCAAACTAATAGATAATGTTACTGGAAGTTATAGTCTTCACACACTCTCTCTACCAAAAAAAGTA